CCCCCCCCCCCCCCCACAAAGCAGATGATACTGACACAGTCATACCCATAGCCTTTTTTTTCTAATTATTATCTTTGACTATTGCTTCATATTAAATCACTGTTATATAAATTTTCATTTGAAAATGTTTTAAATAGAGGCGTCACTAGAGTTGATATACTGATGGGGTCACCCTCTTTTTTCCGTACACTCCCCCTCCCCCATTTTTTAAAACTCGAACCTTCACCGAGTAATTCTTAAACAACAGATCATACAGAATCGCTTCTAGTATCGTTTGTAATTTTAATTCTTCATCCATCCCTGTGGCGCTATAGCCTTTGGCCTGCCTCACCACCTCCTTCCACTCAGACCAAACTATAACGAATGCTTTTCTTTTCCATACTTGGATTTCTGCTGTAGATCTTTTTTCCCCAATCATCCATCCATCAAAGCCTAGGTCTGCCTTTGAGCCGTTTTCCTCTGGGGTTTTGGTGATGCACCCTCTTCACTCTTCTGTCATTTGGCATTCTCTCCAAGTGTCCTGGCCAGCGTAGCCCACCCCTTAAAAAAATATGCTTCTAAAGTGGGATCCTTATATAGACTATACAATTCCTGGTTGGTTCGTATTCTACATCCTTATTCATCCTTTGTTGGTCCATATATTTCCTGGATAACGTTTCCTTTCCGTGTGTGTAATAGGTTTTCTGCCATTTTTTTTAGGGTCAGGTTTCACTTGCGCATGTCACAAAAAATTTTCTTATTATGGACTTTTTCTCCTTTACACTTAATTCCGCACCTTCTATATTTAACTGTCTATTAGTCAGGGTGATAACTAAAAATTATTAATTTTTTTAAATGTGACTGCCGTTTTTTTCCTGAGGTCTTCAAATGGCTGGATTACCGTTTTATAAATAGTTTTCTTTGTTTTTCTTGTTATGTATTTTTGATTATTTTCCGACTACAGAAGTGTGCCCTGTTTACAGTCGATATTCTTTCCTTTATTCCTGTTAGTAATTCGTTTTTCCCCCCATTTAATAAAGATCCCAGGTATTTGAATCGATCCGATTTACCTTTTCAAAAGTGTGGTTTCTAATTTTAATTGTTTCATCTGTATGTTCTTCACTTATCAATAGTCATGTATTTTGTTTTTTTGGTTGTTAACTTCCTGCCTGCTTGTAGTAGTGCTTCTTCTGATTTAATAAAGCGTCTTCGTATTTAATAAACGCTTTTTATACGTCTTTTCTACTTTTCATTAACAATGCTATGTCATCAGCATATGCAAGAGACTGAAGGAGCTGGTTGTAGAGAGTGTCCATTGGTTTTGGGTCGTGGATTTCACTCAGAAATTATCCTGTTATTGTTCCACGGGTGTCAATATGTGTGATTAATGTACGGTTCCCATAAGTTGTTTACCACATTAAAACTTTCGCCATACACTTGAACGTTGGGCCCAACTTAAGGACTTCGAGGAGCTGGTTGGTAGGGAATTCGGTCTTGTCCGTGTTAATGGTGAGATCGAAGTCTGCGCAGGCATTGGAGAAATTAGCAACGCCGCGTTGCAAATCCGATTCTGATCCAGCGTTTTGGGCACGCTCGTCGGCATACAGGAAGTACCCGATGATGTCTGTCAGGACCTTGGATTTGGCATGGAACCTAGAGGTTAACGTAAAGTATCAATTGCTAGCACACATTCATCACAATTTGTCTTTTACTCGTTTTGCTCCAACCTGATGAGCACCCAGCGTGTTGAAAGTCTTTTCACTGACGTTTCAATGTGTTCAATTCAAAACGTCCTATCTATGAATGGAAGCAGAAAAGAAGGAAAAGTTCTATTACAGGTACCAACAATTTTACACATGATGCATTTCAGCAAACGAGTGTTGTCCACACAAGTTAAGTAAATGAGTCTCATATATATATATATATATATATATATATATATATATATATATATATATTAAAAATGGCTTTCTTGGTATCTCTTTTCAGTAGGCTTGTACACCGCTATCAGGGCTTGTACGTCTCCATAATGCTTGTACACCTCTATCAGGGATTGTACATCTCTATAAGGCTTGTACACCTCTATCAGGGCTTGTACGTCTCTATAAGGCTTGTACACCTCTATCAGGGATTGTACGTCTCTATAAGGCTTGTACACCTCTATCAGGATTGCCGGCGTCCGTAGATCGACGAACAGACAGTTAAAATAAAGGAAGTGTCAGTGAGAACTTTAGGATGTCCAGTCCATCATTTGCCAGTTGTTTGATCATTTCATACCTATGTCATTCACTTTTTTTCCCATTTCAAGAAAAAACACCCATGGAAGCACCTCGCTAACTTCTACTTTACCACTGTTGATTTTCACACTTCTGATTTCCTCATTCGAACATGATTCTAAAAAAAATCTGTAAGACTTTATGCCCTCGACAAGCCCCTTCACTTGATTTGTCAAAATATTTTAAATCTCATTCAGAATTTTTGGTACAATATGGAGGCACTTGTTCTCTTGTATTTCCCTTAGATATGTAACAAAACCCCCTCGAGAGAGCGCTGTCTAATTTCTCATTTTACTACTGGTTTCACCCCCCTTGTAGTGCGAACCACACCCTAGTGACGCAACTTGTCTTTATTACCTTTTTTATTAATTTAAAATAAGTTTACAATTATTAGATAACATAAGGTAGCAGAAGTTTAAGTGTAACCAAAACTCCTTTAAGTCGAGTATATTTACCTTTGTTTTCCCAAGTTCGCACAGAATTCCCTTTAAAGCGTCTATCATCTGCTTCAACGTCATTTGCGACTTCCAGTTTCTTTGTGTCACCGGTGGTTCAAAGCTAAATCTAGTCACTGTGTCATTCTGATGTTCATCCGAACTCATCCCAAATGCCTTGGGACCACAAAAACTAAAACCAATATAGAAGTTAATCTTCTTCTGGAACATGTTCCTACTTTTGATTGGATACGCTGTCGGTATTTTTAATGGCAAGGCGTTTCCCTTCGGCCCTGAAATATTTAAAGTTACTTCATTGCCCCCTTCACCGAGAACACCGGTGTGCATTCGCAGGCGTTGCCTAATGTCAAGACTCTGCCAGTTTTCATGAACGGAATACAATTTTATCATCTCATGTGTATCGATGAACACAATGTCATGTAATGGTTGCCCGTTGCCGAGGAAGAAAAGAGTAGTTTCTCTTCTTTTTCTTGATGTTTCCGGTAGGCCAGACTTGGGATAATTTTTACTGAATGCGAGCCGCCATTTGTCTATAGCAGCAATTAGATCTGGAACAAGGCAAATGTCATGACGTAACCTTTCACGGGTGGGAAAATTGTACAATACAAAATACAAATAAGCTTCCAGATATGAACGTTGATTTGTGATTTGCATATCGTAATAGTACAGCTTTTGGCTCAGTTGCAGTAATGTTGGAAACGTCATACCAGGCAAGGATATCCTATCTAGTGTGAAAACGGTAGCAATGTCTAGGGCTGTTCGCATATCCTCAAAACACAGATGACGAGCACTCAAATTGCAAGCTATTAAACTAAAAATGTTTGATAGCTTTTGACGCTCGCCATGTCTTCTTAAGTTCAGCAAAGAATTTAACGACGAAGCACCCAAAAGCCTGGCTCTTCTTGACCTATATTCACAACGAATCGGCTCTGGCAATGTCCCAGGTGGTTCGTCAGTCGGTTCACCAAAGTATTCATCCAAGTTAACTTTGAGATTTAAAAGACTCTTTCTATCTTTGTCAAAAGATTTTGGAATTTTATCCACCAACTTGTTTTCTTTCATTTGAAGATACTCATCGTCAAGACGACGCATGGCGTCTTTTGAAGAGCTCTCCAGCGTTTTTAGAAAGGTGCATTCCGTTTCGGAGAGAAAGTTTAACTCCGCTGGTTTGAAATGACGATCAACTAAAAACGTGTGCAATGTGTTATCTCCTTTAAAACACGGGGACAGTCTTAATAGATTCAATAGCATTACAATAGCTCTAAGTTCACCAAAATATCCAGCAAAATTGTTCTCTTCAAATGTTGAAGTCTCCCGCTCACTAATCTGTTGTTCTTTTCTAAACGCTGTAAGACAATTATTTGTTAGAGTAATTAGTTCGTGGATTTCACTCCCTTTCAAAACATCGCGTGCATCTACAGTTTTCATTGTGGTTTTGTCAAACAGTTGACTTTTGTAAACCTGGCCATAAGTGTCCCAGAGAAAAGAGCTGTCAGGGCGCATGTTTATAGCCTTTAACGCCCACTTCTCGGCGCTGGTCCAATCCTTAATTTCAATATAAAACCTTGCTATCAGTTGAGCAGTAAATGGATCTTTATTAAGACTAAATACACTCTCTAGTTGTTTTATAACTGTTCCGGCACCCTCTTTATCCTTAAGGTGGAGTATAAATCTGGAATATTTGCATCTCTTAACGCCATCGCTCTCCACCTCACGTTTTTTAAAGACATTAGTTATGATTGAAAGAAGTTGTTGAGAGTCTAATGTCCCCAACTGAAATATGCCAGAGTCTAGCAGCTCTTGCATCAGTTCGCTTTCAATCTGCCCCGTGCGCTCTTTCATTCGTGACAGAATTTCTTGGGCGATAATTTTACTAAACACACGTAAGGATTTCCGCGCGTTGCCCTTGGTATGCTGGTGGGAAGATAAGTTGAGGAGGACACGAACCCCTTGACTGAGGGTTGCCTCCCAGTTCAAATTACGTTTATAGTCCCCCGTAGTTCGACTTGGATGTTCTTTCAGGATGGCGTCAAGGCAAGACACCGGAATAGGTTTAAAATCGGGATCAAATGTATTTAACAAAGAAACAATTTTTAACAATGTGACCTCCTTATCGCTCACAACTGCCTCTGAAAACTCTTTAACCACGTGGGCTATGTAATCCTTATTAAAATTTTTCCTGAGAATGTTAAAAGATATTAAAAATTTTGGATTAACGTTCGCATCTCCATGTTCTTCAAATCTGCTTGTCAGATTTTCATGCTTAATCCTAAACCAATCTAATTCTGCAGCAGTTAGTTCTTGTCGCAAAGCGATCTGTCTGTTTATCAACGGTTGGGGCAGAGACGCTCTTCTGGTGCATCTTATAAAGGTACAGTACACATCAAATGATTCTCGTCCATGTATCCAACGCTTCCTGCCCTTCTCTTCCAAACTGGCTTTCAGCATCGTATACTTATCGTCATCTAGGTTGTCAATGAAGACCAAAAGGGGCTTTGGAGTGGGATCCTTGTAGCGTCTTATCTCATCGAGCTGTTCACCGGTCTGCTTGGTTACAGCATTTACCACGCAGCAGCGGTAAGTTTTGCGAAGCTCCCAGAGAACATGTTTGGCAGATGTTGTGCCCCCTGCTCCAGGTTGATGGAGCATGTTCACTATCGTAACTTTGTCATCATCATTTCCGGTGCCCCCTAGAGCCTCCTTGACGTTGGTGATAAAATTGTCATGGATGTCCCGTTTTAAAACCTGGTCATTAAACACGAAATTCCACCAGTCAACTTGCTCGCCCCTGTAGAAGTTTTCTTCTACTTCTTTCTTTTTCTTTTCTTTTTCTTCTTTGGTCAAAGTGAAATCTCCAGATGATAACACGTTGATATCACACCAATCTTTGAGCTTCTTAGGACCTACGGGGACAAAACCTCCACTCGAACAAGGTAAACAACACTCTGAGCTGGTAGTTTTCTGTGTTGCTTTGCAAATAATGGCGTTGACTTGTTCCCATGGCATACCGATAACACATCTCCCGGCGAGGTCTTCTTTTTTTACCCTATTTCTGTTCAACATTTGATCCTGCAAAAATTGTGCAATTTCTTCAGTTTCAGCGAGAACCATCCAACTCTGAGGAAGCTTCCTTAGGACTTCATCACAAGCTTCAATCATCGCCTTGTACGTTTTGGAGAACAAACAGATGATGAAAATGATTCTATCTTTATCAAAATTATCCATAAAGCTCTTCAGGGATTGCTGAAAAGCGCTGCTTCTCTTGAGGTTCCAGTCTATGGGGTCCATGGCTTCAATAGACATTTCTTGATATCCATTACAGAATTGCCAGGAAATTCTATTTTCACAGGCCAACCCTTCAATTAATTCTTCGAACTCCTCATGTTTGGTTTTAGTTTGATCAAAATTTTCGATTGTGAGTACTCGCATGCCCTCTTCCTGCTTGCTGTCTAGGTTCTTGTATATACCATCTGTCGACCCTTTCTCATCAAAATCAAAGACTATTTCGGGATTCAAATGCTTGATGAATGGTACATTGTTGGTGAGATAATCTTGGTTCATGTGATCGTCGATGGGGCTAAGCATCACGAACGGGTATATCGTGTCCTGGATCACGTCGGTGCCTCCTGTCAGCAGATTCAACAAACGAACTTTTAAATTTGGCATGGGCTCTAAAGGTTTTTGTAATTCTTCCTGCTTCCTCTGCTCGATCATTCTTGATTTGTTTCGTTCGAAGTCGTACATTTCTTCAGCTGGTACAATTTTAGGGAAACCTTCATCAGAAAATCTGAAAACTGCTTCTTTGAGCTTGAACTTTTTATAATATATTGGCAGAGGCACCAGTTTTGTTCGGACCACGTCTTCTTCAAGAACGTAGCTGGACGGCACAATATCCACTTCTATTACCGACGTGTTCGAATCTGATGTACCAGTCACGGGAACGAAGCAAGCCTCGCGAACAGAACCTTTGATAATATCCATTTGATTTTCAAGAAAACATTTTGTTATGAAATCCCTCAATTCTGCGTGCACTTCCTCCTTTGAAAGAGCAACCCCGACTATTTCCCCGGCCTTGACCTCCCGAGTCGCACAAGGGCTGATGCCGAAATAAATCGTTCCGTTTCTTCGATCGTTTAGACAGGCCGAGGCGAACGGAATCACTTCAGAGCCTATGAATTCGTAAGCCTTATCTTTGTCCGGCTGCTCGACAAGATGGAAATTTCTAACTGGAGTTGTTTTCTTCCCTAGGACGTTAACGCTGACCTCCACGCAATGACCTTTGCTGTATTTATCAGATGGCCGTAGTTCCCGGTCAAATTTGCGAAGTTGCTCCGGGTGAGTTTCAACGCGCGCGACAATTTTTGAAATAAAAATCGTTAGGAAGCGGTGGACGCCGAAAGGAGCATCTGGGATAACTTTTACAAAGTCGTCTTCTTTCATGGAGAGAAATATTTGTCCGGACACCTTTTGCTGTTCGAGAACGTCCAGCGATTGTGTGGGTAACTCTTGTTGGGAGAACACCGTGGAAAGGTATTGTTTGAGATTCTCTGGGGTCATGTCTCTTACATCTGTAGGCAAGGAAATCGCACCTATAAAATATGGGATAGAAATTTGTTAAAAATTTTATTGCAAGTTTAAAGATCTACTTTATGAAGCACCACTTTCCAAATGGGGAGCCCTTATTTGGGAACTAAATAATGGGTATTATGGAGGGAAGAAGCATGCTAACAAGAAAATTTCATTAAAAAATAATGTTATACCAGAGACAAGTTTAAACAAAATTGTGTGATAAACATTATGAACTTAATTTTAATTATAATATAACATAAAAGTTACCAAACTGATTTTTGGAAAGTTTAAATGTTTTTTTTAATCTCTTTCAATAGCGTTCAAAGTAGAGACCGACCGAATTTCGGCTTGGTTTCGGCGCCGAAAGTGGCCATTTTATCACTTTCGGCCAAGTTTCGGTTTCGCCCGAAACTGAAAGTTAATTTTCGGCTTAATTTCGGTTTCGGCCGAAAGAGAAGAGTTAACTTTCGTTTTTTTTCGGTTTCGGCCGAAATTGACTTAGACTTTCGGCCATCCAAAATGACTGAGGTTTTCGGTCATCTAATTCTCACCAAAAGCGATATTTAACAACAAACTAAGCGACATTTAAGAACAAACTAAACGATCTTTAAGAACAAATTAAGCGATCTTTAAGAACAAACTAAACGATCTTTAAAAAAAATAAAGTGATCTTTAAAAACAAATAAAGCGACCTTTAAGAACAAATTAAGCGATCTTTAATAAAAAAAAACCTGAATGATCTTAAAGAAAAAAACTAAGTGAACAAAACAAATGATCTTTAATAGTAAACTAAATGATTTATAATAATAAACTAAGCGATCTTTAACAGAAAACTAAATGTTTTTTTCGGAACAAACTAAAAGATCTTTAAAAACAAACTAATCAATCTTAAGGAACAAAATCAATTATCTATAAGAACAAACTAAGCGATCTTTACGAACAAAATTTATCGATCTTCAACAACAAAATAAGCGATTTTTAAGAACAAACTAAAAGATCTATACAAACAAACTAAATTATCTTTAATAGAAAACTGAATGATCTTTAAGAGAAACTAAGCGACATTTAAGAACAAAATTAATGATCTTTAATAACAAACTTAGAGATCGTTATGAACAAACTAAACGATTTTTTAATGACACAAATTAAGCGATCTTTAAGAAAAAACTTAGAGATCTTTTTTGAACAAACTAAATGATCTTTAATAACTAACTAAAAGATCTTTAAACAAAAGATAAGTGATTTTTAACAACAAACTAAACAATCTTTATGAACAAACTAACCGATCTTTAAGAACAAATAAAGCGATCATTTACAAAAAAAACTGAACGATCTTTAACAACAAACTAAGCGATCTTTAAGAACAAACTAAATGATCTTTAACAACAAGATGTTATATTAGATGTTTATTTATTAATATTCACGATTATCTCATTTTTTTATAAAAAGAATGTAAATGTTAATACTTTCTCCCATCATTTTCAATGTATGCAGAATGTATGCGGGAACGAATTTTCAAAATTTCTAAATATTTCATTTTCGGTTTCGGCCGAAAGTCATTTTTAACTTTCGGCCTTTTTTCGGTTTCAGCCGAAAGTCATTTTTAAACTTTTGGCCTGTTTTCGGTTTCGGCCGAAAGTCATTTTAAACTTTCGGCCTATTTTCGGCTTCGGCCGAAATCAGAAAATCACTTTCGGTCGGTCTCTAGTTCAAAGAAATGTATGCAATATGTAAATATTTAATTTGCTTTTGCATGTATGGGTGAAAATAAATATTGACACCGTCATTCCTTGCTTTTAGAGTTTATAAATACGGTGATCCTACTGTTGAGAAATTTTAAATGAAGCCAAGAAATATCGCCTCCTTTAGTGTCGGCAGTGAGTTTAAGCATCATAGTCAGTAGATGATTGCTTGTACGATTAAAATTTTTTCAAATAGCGATACCTTGTGTTAAGAACTTGAATGTATAGTGTGATTGCGTGTTGTTTATAGAGCATTTGGGTAGATGTTGTAATTAAATGTTTGATATTTTGTGACGTATTGCGAATTGCGCGAAAGGGGATGTGACGTAGTATTGATTGTGTAGTATTTTTCTCGGAGTAATGGCAGTTGTGATTTAGTCAATAAAGATACTTTATTATAATATTAATAGTCAATGGTTTGTAAAGTTATTTAAATTAAACTGACAAACGAAGCCATCGAACCTTCGTGTAGAACCGGGTTCGTAACACCTTGTAATGTTTCAACAGCTGGTAAACCTTCATGCTCTCTTTGTTGTTGGGGTTTTTTTGGTATGTCAGCTACTGGGTCCGCCTTGCGAATGTTTTTCAGATAGCTTCAATTTTTGTCAAGGATTATTTTCCATTTATAAATCACTTTCAAAGATCAATAGCATTCTTGGGTGAATCTGCTTTCTAAAATACAATTTTAAATTGACTAAGAAAATACAGACAAAACAATGTTATAAAAAAGGAAATCCCGGAACAAGAAAATCTGCAATAAAAATATGATTCATTAAATTTTAAACATTAAAGCAGCTAATGATGATAGACAAATAAATGCTCTGAAAAGGATACATTACTTTTTTTGCATGTTTGCCTTCTCGTTTTTTAACTTTCTCAATTTCTACTCCAACAAACTCATCTTTCCAGATGAAGTCCAAAAGGGTCTCATTGTCCCATTCATTTTGTCCACCAAACACGTGAGCTTCCTTAAGGGTTTGCCTGATATCAGAGAGTGTTGTGGACGACCCTTCCCCGTTTACGTAGTGGGCACGTAGTACTCTCCTGACGTCCTCATCTAGTAAGTGTGGGTCAGCTGCAAAAGAAGGGCATTCTGCTTATCATATCTTAGTCATAAAGATTTAAATTATTTAACGAAGTGGCTATTGGGACCCGGGTCCAAAAAGTGAGAGGTTGGGTTTAAAATAAAAAAAAAATTATTATAGTTAGGTTTTAAGACAAAATGAGGTATCAAATGAAAGATAATTGAATGGAAAATATGTTTGTAAACTTACTTCTTTAGTTTAACTTAAATAAACTACCGGTACCACAAAGACATCCGAATAGAATTGAGCCTAAAGGCACCCGGGTCCGAGTAGCGGCGCTGCGTGTCCGAGTCCATTTTGACTAAATGCTATTCGCAGCCATTATTTAATATTATGAAAAATGTTAAATTTAACTTGATTGGCATTTGGATACATAATAGAGACGGAGAGAGAGAGAGAAAGAATGAAAGAGAGAGAGAGAGAGAGAGAGAGAGAGAGAGAGAGAGAGAGACAGAGAGAGACAGAGAGACAGAGAGACAAAGAGAAAGATAGACAGACAGGCCGACAGACAGACATACAAACTGAGAGAAACAGAGTGGACCAGGTTCCAGAGAAAAGATTGAGGGTTTATTGAGAGAGGGATTTTACACGTACGCTTAGAATGAAGATGAGCATCTGATTTTGCTTCTGTCCCAACAATTTTGTCAGCTAGCAAAACTGTGACGGGGTCCAGTCTTAAAGCTGCCATCAAGACACTACAAAATATGTAAAGAAAAACAAAGAAAATTATAATAGTAAATTAATTTATATTTAATTTTAAATGAGAAAATGACTGGGGTCACATACCAACCAACTCCTCCAAAACCTTACGCCGAATTCATCATTTAAGACAGTGGCGAAAGGCCAGCATTTCTCTGACCTTGACAGCCCACTGCCCCAAAGTGTAAGAGTCAGCGCAAGTGATGGCCAAATGTCTAGCATGTAATGGACGGGGCGGGGCATCGTCAACAAAACAAGAATAAACGTCTCCAAGGCGACTGTGCTCCTGACACTATTTAATGAACACATGTGAACGCTCAATGTCTATTTACCTCATGCAAAAAATGCTGAACCACTTTCATACGTCGAGGCTCAGACAAAACACGTAATATCAAATGGTAGGACAAGGCCCAACACTGTATTAAAATGGTGTAGAGGCCGAGGAGACATGCGTGTACTCGCATAGGCGGAACATGTGAGAATGTCAAACGACCGTTTGTCCAAGAGAATATTTTTTGTTGAGCATAAGCATGACAGATTCCAATGCTGGTGATGAGAAAAATCCCTTCAAAGACACCCTGAACACATGGTAACAATAGGCGCAATATCGAGCCCTGTGGAGATCCTCCTTTCATAAACGTTCCATGCAAAACGAAGCCAACAAAACACTGCTGCATAATAGAAAAGACAGTCCAGAAAGCCCGGGTGATTACTGCACCTGGAGATGTCGCATCCACTTCTTGCACCTACTGTACAAGAAAGTTTAGTGCTAAAATCGTTCTGCTCAGCCATCTGCACATTTATAGACTGAATCAGCTACAGAAAGAATCAGCCCTATCAACTATTGAACGATTAAAGTGGTCTCCGTGTCTTTTATGGGAGCAAGAGTTCCGTCGACAGTAGGACTCACAAGTCACCTGCATACTCATTGTCGAATATAGCCCAAAATAGACGAATTCTATTTACTGAAAATATCGCATCCTTAACGTGCGCATGTCTTTGTCAACGGTGCATATGTCCATCTGCAATGTGTTCCCAGTCGGGGAAAAGAACATATGCTGGACAACAGCTTTTGGAAAAAATCTATCGACGGACAAAATCATTCATAGTTTACCATTGTCTTTGCTCGCACATAAGTTGTCGTTAAGGGACACTGAGTTAGATGAAGGTGGCTGAGCAAGTGCGAGAGAGATTTAACAGGACGGCCCTAGATATCAGGGGTCATTCATGCTGTCCATTGTTATGAAATTTCACACTTCAGAAAATGTTCTGTCAGCTGACGGGCATGTTTTCAATATTCACATTTATAAGCCTATGTAACAAAAGGTTTACCGGTACTTGAACTCAGAGTAAATAAAATGCGGAAGGGGGGAGTGGGCTGGGAGAGCCGTGTTGTACATTAGTAAATGCTACCAGGGGGGAGTTCCCGAAAGTCCGCTTTTGTAATACAGGCATCGATTTATAGAATGTTAGACCTAAATGTCAATCCCTAAGATATATTAGCGTTTATATGTAATTCTCAAAAATACATACAGAGAGACACATTAGTATAAGTAATTAGAAAGTAACGTAGATTTTTTTAAAAGTACACCAAATCATTATAATTCTCACTTGACTCAATGACGCAAGAACGAAACATTTATTATTTTTGTAATCCCTCGTAAATTTACTTACCTGAAAGCTTTTAGTTTTACGGGTTTCTCTTTAAGTATCTTAAGGACATTTTTCATTCGCTTCTCTTCATGTTTTGTACTTTTTATTAACTTCATGTCACTTGAAGTAATCACGCTCTCCTGAAAAATGGTATATTGAAAGATAAGTAAAGTTCAGTGTTTACGGATGAAGCAGAAAAACTCGTAATATCGAACGAGGAAGTTACAATATGAGGGCATTTGTTTAAAAAAAGGACTTGAATTCATTAACGTTTCTCACTTAAATGTTTTCTCTCTTTAAAGCCAAAGTGTATTAATAAACATTTTAATAATTTCAAGGCCCCGTGTCATTCGTCAAAAGGGTTTGTCATTTCTAAGATCGGAAAACGTCACATCGCTTTACGTAATTTTACAATCTTTTTAGCCAATGTTTTCGTAAAAGAAAGCTTCTACCAATGTATTTCCGCAAAAAAAATTATCACAGCAGACGGCCCGCCACTGTGCCAACATTTACTGGCTAGACCTTTGCAACTTTATACAATCGGCTTCCGACAACGGAGATGCAAGGAGCATGTACGAGGGCATCACGAGGGCATTTGGTCCACACACTTCAAAATAGCACCACTCCAGTCCAAGACGGGTCAAATTATCCAGAACCCAAATTATCAACTCCGGCGTTGGGTAGAGCAGTATCTTGAACTATACTCAACAATGAATGTAGTCAATGAGGCCGCTCTGCATAATATTCCCGTCTTGTCAGTAATGAATCAACTGGATGAAGAGCCAACTTTACAGGAGCTTGAAAGACCTATTGATTACCTTGCGGATGGGAAGGCTCCAGGGATCGACGGCATCTCAGCGGAAATCCTCAAAAATGGAAAACCTATCCTACTTCAGCCCTTACATGAGCTCCTCTGTCTGTGTTGGGAAACAGGTCACATTCCCCAGGACATGAGAGACACCAACATCGCAAATTGTATACAAATAAAGGGGACTGAAGTGATTGCAATAGTTACCGAGGTATTTCTCTCCTTGGCTTTGTTGGAAAGACTTTTGCCCGTGTTGCCCTTAAACGATTGAAGAGTCTGGCGAACGCATCTACCCAGAGTCCCAGCGTGGCTTCCGGAATGGGCGCTCAACAATAGACATGATATTTTCGCTACGCCAAATGCATGAGAAATGTTATGAACAGCATATGCCTCTTTATATTGCCTTCATAGACCTGACCAAGGCATTTGACTTGGTAAGTCGAAGAGGCCTTTTCAGTATCCTGCAAAGAATAGGTTGTCCCCCACGACTGCTCACAATCATACAGTCATTTCACAAAAACATGCACAGCATGCACATGCACTTTCATTGGCACTGTCTCTGAGTCATTCCCAGTTAGCAGCGGAGTAAAACAGGGTATGTACTGGCACCGACGCTCTTTTCCATTTTCTTTTCGATCCTCCTTCAATTTGCCTTCAGGGACCATGAAGATGGAGCGTACGTCCATACCAGATTTGATGGTAGGCTGTTCAATATCTCCCGACTTCGTGCAAAGACCAAAGTAAAAAAGGTGCTGATTTATTAACTGCTGTCCGCCTTAACATCTCACAGAGAAGAAGGTCTGCAGGGGCTGATTAATCGTCTATCACACGCTTGTAAAGAGTTTGGACTTTCGATTAGTCTACAGAAAACTCATGTAAGGATGCAAGAAGCACCGTCCCCTCCAATCATATCTATTGAGGGTCATAATCTTTCAGTTGTTGATCATTTCACATACCTTGGATCCAATATTTCTAGGTCTCTCTCCGTTGATGAAGAGATCGCAAAAGCAGCAGCAACTATGGCTAAGCTGAATAAGCGGGTGTGGAATGATCTCAATCTAACTGATAAAACAAAAATAAGTGTCTATCAGGCATGTGTGCTTAGCACGCTCCTATATGGTAGCGAAGTGTGGACCACATATACCAGTCAGGAGCGGAAACTCAACAGCTTCCATCAAAGATGTCTGTGTCGTATTTTACGCATTCGATTGCAGGACAAGGTGCCTAACGTGGAGGTTTTGGAACGTGCACACATGTTTAGCATATTCTCCTTTCTTATCAAGTGGCGCCTTTGCTGGTTAGGCCATGTAAGGAGAATGGAGGAAGGGTGTTGTGAGCTAGTTTGTCGTGAATGTTGGGTAGGGGGAGTCGTGAATCGTGAGTGTTTTGTGAGTTGTTGATCGTGAGGTCAGTGCGTGAAGTTAGTCCGTGGTGGGGCACGTTTGCCTAGGCTGAGTTGTTTTGTGGTATTATAAAAGGGATTTGTGTTAGCTAGACACAGAGACAGACAGAGAGAGAGAGAGAAGACAGAGGTCAGAGACGAGAGAATTGTTAGTCGTTAGAGTTGTCAGTTAAGAGTTAGTTTGTAGCGATAGGAGCGAGTGGATAGTTGCTAGTCGGACTGATGTGTATCCTGTTTTGTAAAAAACCTAATAAATATTATATATTGTTACACTGGACCTTGTGTTCTATTTGAGAGATTCGTACACCTTAGACAACGCAAGAGAGCCGTAACACTTCAAGTATAACAAGGTCGTAACAAAGGGCGTATCCCAAAGATGCTGCTGTATGGAGAGTTGGCAGATGGGACAAGACACATTGGACGACCACGCCTGAGATTTATTGACCTTTGCAAAAGAAGCACGAGGGAAGCCAATATTGAAAAAAACGAATGGGAGTTCATTGCCGAACAACGCTCCAACTGGCGAATAGCAGTGGAGTAAAAAAAGGCAGAAGATACTTGAAACGAGGCCCTTGAAACAAAAAGAACCATTCGGAAATCAAGATTTTACCTGAAATCAATATTCTCCTGCAAGAGATGCGGCCGTAATTGTCATTCTAGGATTGGCCTAGTGAGCCACTCGTCAAAGTGTAGGACTACATAGCTACTCCATCGTCTCACGAAGACGGAAGGATGCCATATATATATATATATATATATATATATATATATATATATATATACTTAGGTGTCATCATTAATAATAAGCTAACATGGCATGAGCACGGCCAAATGCTGTATAAGAAATTCAACCAAACATTGTTCTACCTCAAAAAAAACTGTACAATTTCGGTGTAAACAAGCAAGTCGTTAACTTATTCTACAGTGCAACTATTGGAAGCCTCNGCATAAACCGACTAATCAAGAAAGCTAGGAACATAACACAAACTAAACATCCTTTACTTGAAGAACTATTTGAAGAAAGATGTTTTTGCAAAACTAAACACATTTTGGATGATACATCCCACCCTCTTCATCACAGATACTTAGGATCGGGCCGTTCGGGACGAATTCTTTTAAATCAAGACGAGGACCGACAGATATAAACATTCTTTTGTTCCCCAATATGTACGAATTTACCGGCATGCTTCCTCTGAAGTCACACATCTGAATGAGAGCTAATAATTCCCCGATTTTGCTAAGAGAACTCACTGAATAGCTGTTTGAAATAATTTATTATAAATGTCTTGTGTTCAAATTGTTATATTTTTGAGCTGAAAATGTATAATGCAATCAAAAAACATTTCCATTTATTTGGATCAATAAAAGAATCTTATCTTATCTATATATATACACAAATTGTTACTTAAATACTTTATATATATATATATATATATATATATATATATATATAATATTTAAGTAACAATTTATAAAATCTTTCGTAAAATAAAGTTGTAAACATGTTTTCGTCCTGGTTAAGACTCACATCAACGTATCAGTATCAAAAAGCTGTAGAGAGATTGGCCAAACGGAGTACCGGGATGTTTTTATTAATACCTTAATTCGATTGGCCAAATTGTACGCCCGAATGTTCTATTAATAGATTTCCGCCTGTAAATGACAAACCATGTAGCCATAAGCCAACACCAAAACTTACCGAATACAAATAATTTATAACAGGAGAAGGATACACTTCTAACAGTTCTCCCATGTTTCTTGTCAACTTTTCCCATTCTTCGGCGTTCATTTCTGTCAAATCTAGATTGCGAATGAATGACAATGAAATTTATTTTGCTAACATGATAAAATGTAAATATATTTAATATACAGATTTGAACAAAAAATCCCAAGAGGTTTATGTGTAGAAAGTAAGAGGATGAACTATGTTCATAGCATGGATTTAATGGGGTAGCAAAGCATAAATGTATTTAATTTTAATGTCGTGATTATGTCTCTTTTGATAATATTTTTATTTACAGCACGGTGAGCCCAGCCCTAGGCTGGTGTAACGCGCTATATAAGACCACTAATTATTATTATTATTATTTCTATTTAATTATTATTTTATTTTTTGTTGGTAACGTTCCTATTTAAAGATTTACATTATGGGGGAAAATTATGGCCTATACTCGGAGCAATAGGCTACGGAATTAACATAACTTTCCATCAAGGGCCTCCAATATGAGAATAAAATCTCATCACCCCTGGGCCGAGTTTTGAGTGACCAAATTAATTTGGGAAAGGGAACAAACATAAATATAATAAATATATATATATTATTTATTTATTTAAAAATAGGATTAGCTGGTGATTGAGCTCCAATCAATGTTTGGATAAGATACATTTTTCACCACTCTGCCATCAAGATGCCAACCGGTTTTTGATGTTTTTAAATTTAAAAATTTAACAAACCTAAAAACAGAGTTTTTCGTATCAATCCTTTATAAAATGTTTATTGTTCGTCCGTCGAGGATCGACGAGGACCATCGAGTCGTCTGGTAACTGGTGACTTGCGCGGGTGACTTTGTTTAAAGTGAAGAAGAGTTGCGAGGCGTCAACCTCACTCTCTCGCCCAGGCTCACCATATCCAGTGGCAAGACTCTACGTCAAGACGACCAGGGATGGGTTCGGTTGCAGGAATTTTCATTGTTTGCGCCTTACAGGACTCCAACTCCAGGTTTGAATTCAAAGTTTCCTTCTCTTTAGATGAGTTGCCGACCAAGGTTAACAAGCCTCATCCACCCGGGGTGATGGTTTTGCTTGACTGGCCTTTTGGCTGGACTTGAACACCAGACCACCAACTTGAGGTTTGCTCAGTTTAGACCATTTGGCCACCCCAGTTATAATATGTTATACAGAGCAATGGTGGGTGAGGCTGAAAATTTGATAAAACATGCGAACAATAATTATTCATTCGTGCATAGCCACATTGTGCGTAATACAGCCTTGAAACTTGGCAGTCTTTATAAACGCCAGGAGTAAGCTAGTTATATTTAATACATAGCATAATAATATTCTAGGAATCTAGAACTCAACAACTCAAAATAACTGAATAAATATTTATTTTTAGTAATTAATTATCAATTGTTATCTGTTATTTATTAGCTGAGCATAATTATTTTTTTTTAAAATTTAAAGTGAGATAACGTCTAACAGGTAAAATATGATAACTAGCTAAGTTTATTCGTGTTCCATTAGGAAATATGGCCCCGTTTTGTTAAAAAGATGGCCAATCTGTAGTTCCATATTTGTCACAGCTGCACGGCCAGTCCAGTATTGTTAGAGTAATTAAACAGGCACTGATACACAGAGGCGTAGCGTGGTGGTGGCAGGGGGGGACAGATGTCCCCGGGCGCCAGCTAGTTAGGGGCGCAAAAATGTGCTTTGATATTATTTTATTGATGAAAATAATGGGTATGAGAGTTGAAAAAAAAAAGAAAAAGGGGCGCTAAAAATGGATCTTGTCCCCGGGCGCGAATCTTGTCCCCGGGCGCCAAACACCCTCGCTACGCCACTGCTGATACATCCGAACGGAGCTGGAGCTTTTACCCTTCATGCAACCAATTAGCGTTATCATGGTGCCCTCAAACCCAACATCTCCCTCTATCACATTTTAAACATTTATTATATTGCGTATATGCCCTACTACTTATTTATTAGTTAACTTTTTGAGAGGCAACTGACGGTTCTTCAAAGTAGTGCTAAGTTTATAAGCTATAAATTCTGCTGTGTCGTTAAACATGAAACACACTTTAAGCTCCAATAGGTGTTACCGGTAACTGAAAACTTAGTGGTATAACGGCACATGTTTACTCCAACACTCGACATTTCAAATATCATGAAATCAGCACATCCAATCACCGTCCACCATTTAGAATTTCAGATCCAGTCAATTATTAGATTTATTTAATAAGAATACTTTAAAAATTAATACTTAGGCTCTTTCCTATCAGAATGAAATATCTAAAATGTTACATCTGGTTAAATCCTGTATCAACATTAGTTATTGTTTTCACGAATTAAATTGATTGACTTGATTGGCTCAGATTGGTTGGCTTGTCAACGCGTGATTGTTTGTGCCACAGAGAATGACGTTTAGCACTGGAATTCCAACAGTAACTTAACTCGGCTTCTTTCAGTTTCGTTTGCCATAAAAGGTAATTAAAAAAAAAAAATTCCCGGATCTCGTACGCATTGCGAAAAAACAACAACTTAGTGATGCGTGTCAGAGATAACAGAGCTCTTATTTCCAGAGGTGACATAGCGAATTTCATAAAAGCGAACACAGAACGAGTAGGATTAAGGGAAATATGTGAAAAGAGTTGTTTTTTTTTTCAAAAATCCTTTATAGCAGTGGTTCTTAACCTGGGTTTGATCGAACCCCAGGGGTTCGGTGAGTCAGTCTCAGGGGTTCGGCGGAGGTCAAAAAAAAATCAGAAAAAAAAATTATATTTTATTTTTCCTATTAAGAAGGGTTCGGTGGATGCGCATATGAAACTGGTGGGGTTCGGTACCTCCAAAAAGGTTAAGAACCACTGCTTTATAGTAACTTCGCTTTTGCTCGTGCGTTTTTTTTTCTGGCAAAATCTTCGGAAGGCTAATTGACCTACTTTCCGTCAACATATCGAGCTGAAACTCGGCACATAGACTCGTTGCCGATGACAACACATTCGATCACGTTCAGCATAAACCCCCAAACTTTTTTTTCCTGTTTTTCAAGGGGAAATGAGGGAAATGTGATGAAAATGATTTCACAAATTTCCCAACACCTGCACTAAATTAGATTCTTTAAATATCGCAAGTTTGGATATAAAATATTTATACGAAAAACTTTGTGTTTCTGGGTTGTTTAATGAAAGAGTTGAATTACAATTTAAAAAAAAAACTAGGAATACTTTTTTAAAAAATAGTTTTTATTGTTTGCTATGTACTGTTTCCTTGCAAATAAATTTCTCCCCCTCTCTCCTCTCGCCACACACAAACCAATCTCCCACTGTAAATAAATTATATCTTAGAGCAGACATCAATTTGCATGTTTCTAATGAGTTCAGTTTTTATTTTACATTATTACTATTATTTCGTTTGGCATGCGTATAAATGTGTTTATATTGTTAGTTTCTTCCATTAAATATTTGATCAGATAGTGAAACAATGTCGAAGGGCTCGGCTGCTCATTTCTACAGAGTCACTAACAAGGCAGCTTGATGTGTGCCTGTCCACATAAATAACGTCCTTTGTGTTGAATTTGATAACATCAAGCAAACTGGAACTCTTACATGTTAGCAGTGATTCTGAACAACGTTTATTTAAGTAATAACACAACCTAACATAACTTACCAAGAGCACGACTGTGCAGGCTCAAGTATAGCAGGATATGGTTACGATCTTTCAAAGAAGCCTATTATGGCTTCTTTCCAAGAATAAATTATTAGCTGTGTAAATGCTGAGTTTCAAGCACTTCCTGCAGTGTTTATTTAGTAGTCTTGGTGATAATGGCAAGCATATAGTTGATGTATCGACCATGTATCGATAAATCACAGTTTGCGATTGCAGATCAATGAACAAAAATAGAACGGATCTAGAATTACATAGTAGTGTACGCCAGGAAAGTCGTATTCTATTTACGCGAGGAAATGTAGTATCGGGCACAAGGACGTAGCGTGAAAATAACTACCTGCTTTCAAAATGTTGTGACACACATAAGAGCATTTTATCACAGAACTGTTGAAGATGATCGTGTTAGATATGGTTGCGAAACTACTGACCCCTGGCTAAACCCCACTTCCTTCAGCCCACCCCACCAAAAAAATATGTTTCAAAGGATTTTATTTTCATATATTGTATGACAATCTTATAGCCAAGGATTTTGAGAGCAGCTCAGAGCTGGAGCTCTGGAGCAGGGACTTTTTAAAAGGAGTTTGAGCTGGAGATATCTCTTACTGCTTCGAGCTGGAGATATCTCTTACTGCTTCGATCTCCAAAATTGTTATAAATAAATTTTAAAAAATGCTAAAATTATAAATTTTAATTTTGTTTAAATAATTTATTAAAATGGGCGCCCACTCTTCTACAGTTTTGCCCCAATCTTTTACCGGCGATGTTGTCTCATTCTTCTATCAGCTATATAACATTTGCTTCACTCTTCAATAGCTATGTTGATCCCATTTTTTCTACCAGCTATGTTGCCCACTCTTCTATCAGCTATGTTGCTTTTTAGTACATTGACAATAATAAACTCATTTGTTTAAACACTTAATATCCCCCCCCCCCATTAAAAAATCACACCCCCACCAATGTTCCCTTTAAGCAGCAGTTTTGAGTATCCGCTCCCATTTTTTCCACCAGCTATGTTTCCCACTCTTCTATCAGCTATGTTGCTTTTTAGTACATTGACAATAATAAACTCATTTGTTTAAACACTTAATATCCCCCCCCCCCCATTAAAAAATCACACCCCCACCAATGTTCCCTTTAAGCAGCAGTTTTGAGTATCCGCGTAGCAAATTTCCATGTAAATGTGTGTTTGTGTTTGTGGGCTGTAAAATTTTGCACACACAAAAAAATATGATGCTGTAAAACTTTTTCCAAAGATAGGCCTACTTATAATAAATTGGACCTTTGAGTACATTAATTTAAGTCTTTTAGCAATTAATTCAACTGTGTACTAATGTTGTTCATAATTTAACCACGGGATAAAATAGAGAACAATGTGACTAATTTGGTTTAAATTACGCCTAAAGAGTACCAATACAATTATCGGTAAAAAGGCAAATTAAACTTAAGATTGATTATCTGCAGATTAATCGATGCAGACATAGTCTAGTATTCGAGGTAAAATAATAATAAAACATTTTTTAAAATATTTTTTAAATTTGCCAGAGCTCGGAGCTGAGCTGGAGCTAACGAAATTCGTCTTCTCCAAATTCCTGCTTATAGCAGTTAAAAATCGGCAGCACTCCCCATCTGTAAACTTCCTTACCGAAAATCGTAGGCCCTATATCAGTGGTTCCCAAACGTTTAAGTCTGTCGGACCGGTGAATAAGTTTCCGAATTTTACCAGGGACCGGTGCATGATTTATTTTTATAATTTTATTTCTTCTATTCGGCAATAAATATTTATTTTATGGGGACTGGCAGCGTTAGGGATGCGGACCGGTGAAGGTCCACGGACCGCCATTTGTGGACCACTGCCCTATCTATGTGAATAACAAAAAATAATATCGTTGATCGTTGATCGACATTTAGTTTGTGATAGAATGTGCGTGTTGGTTCGTATTCAATGACGTTGATATAAGTCCGTCAATATATGACGATGGTGTTAACTTCGCATGACGAATTAACAAGGCCTGTTTTTTTTTTCTTTATGAAGATAACCCAATGAAATATCATGTGTGGATGATGCAGCTGGGCACCAGCGGCGTCACAGGAGGTGCCGGAATGATCATTGTACCAATGTCGAGCCGCATACGGGACTCAATCTTCGGGCATAATTTCAGGTTTTTTTCTTCTCTAGGATGAGTTGCCATCCAATTTGAACGGGTCCCATCGACTCTGGGGTGATAATGTTTTGCGTGTCTGATTTTTTGCTGGGTATTCAACTCCATTCCACGTACTAGAGATTGACTCAGTTGAAGACCTCTCGCCCATCCAGCACCCCAAAATATAGGAATTTTCCACGAATTTGTGTCCCATCCTTAAATATTGGCCTATCAAAGAAAACTAGAATTATGAAGTCAATGTGTTTTGACAACCCATTTCTCAGATCACGGAGTCGCGTGTCTCCAAATCTATCGTGTGTGTTTTTCTCGTTGTTGTTTTTAAAAAAAAAATCTTTCATGCAACTAAAAAAACCTTTCGTTTTTAACCGATTTCACCGACAATGTCAGGGCAATGTCGACTACTTATCCCCGTCCTATCTCAAAGCGCTCATGAATACTTATGTACCCACTAGACAACTCCGCTCATCCGATAGTGGCAAACGCTCGATATCACGTGTTCGCCTTGAGACCTACAGAAGGCCCACTTTCGCATTTGCTGGCCCAACAATTTGGAACACACTCCCGACACTCTCAGAAACAGCCAGACGCTGGAGTCTTTCAAAACGGAATTAAAAACACATCTATTTCACAAACACCTGGTGGGGGGATGTTGTGTATCATCTTTACCGGCTGGCTATTATCTCCTAGATGTTTATTGGCCTGTTTTGTTTATGTTTGTAAGGGATTAAAGAATTAGAATGGGTATTCTCGTATGTAGTTTTTGTAATGTTGCGTTTTGTATTTCAGTGTGGTAGAACATAGCCTATATTTTTTTGTCATTTCTCTTTTAATATGGTTGACTTTGTACAGCGCTTTGAGCCTTTGGGGATGAAGCGTGATTTTTAAATAAACTTTATTTTAATTTTATTATTATTATTACTTTCAATGGCTCACTAAAACCATATGAAAGATGACTCAGGTTTGTTCGAAATTGATGAATGGTAAAAAAATTTATCATTTTTTAAAATGATTTGATAAAAGATTTTGCAGAAGACAGTGGTGTGTAAATCATCACTGTATCAATTCCACTAGTAGAATATAATATAGTTCGTTGACTGCATCCAGGCATACAATTTTTAATCACATTGGATTTAATTCCGACACACATTTCAGTACACTGTAGTTAACTGTAAATCGAGTTCAGGGTGTGAAATTGTCTGTTCACGCAAAAGGGATTATGGCACGCATTGAGTTCCTCATTAGTTTGAGTTGTTTCTGTAACCGTTTTACCAGTTGTCAACAGCACAAAATATTCTGATACATTTTTTTTGACATCGTCTAAGCTCTTTTTAGCCTTGTCTTATGCAATCAGGTAGTAGTTGTCGTTCAAATAGGTTCCCAATTTGAACTCCAGTTGTCTCAGCTTTTTTCAAAACACCATCGCAAGTGTCATTGTTTCACTATAAATCCCAAGTGTCATTGTTTCACAATACCATCCCAATTGTCAGTGTTTCACAATACCATCCCACGTGTCATTGCCTCCCAATACCATCACAAGTGTCATTGTTTCCCAATACCATCCCAAGTGTCAATGTTTAACAATACCATCCAAAGTGTCACTGTTTCCAAATACTGTCCAAAGTGTCATTATTTCACAATACCACCCCCATTGCCTTATCTACTTGCTTTTTTACATTTAAATTATTCTTTATCAGGAGAACTTAAAATTTGATGTGAATGTCATAAAATTAACACTATGGTATAAATAGGCTTCATACACTTCAAGATTAAATTAAATGTTGTGCACGTATTCTTAAAAATCATCACTATAATAGAGAATTCTCTTGCTACCCTCTTGGATACTACATTTCAACTAAGTGCTATTTTTTAAATTTAATTCTGATTATCCTGTTTTTTTTTTGTTGTTTTTTTTTAAGGCTTCCTGCCGATCCATTCGTTGTTTTGTTGCGTTTCTTTTTTCGGGGTTGTCCATACTTTATTTCAGTGGCGTAGCTAGGGTTGGTGTCACCCCCTCCCCCGACTTCCACGATGGATTTCCTCTTGTTAAAATAAGTTAACAGTATAACTATGACAAGAACAAAAATACAAATTAATTGAAGGTCGGGGTAAATGTATTTAAGAACTGTAATATGTACTTAGAATCACCCATTGATATCAAAAGAGAGCTTTATGTCTCAGAATTTAGATAAATATAGCTTCTTGTCACTAACGAAAGTTACTGAACACTACAAACGGCGTTGAATCCTGGTCAAAACTGTGTTTTTCTGACCTATTTATAGGATCACCCCATTTCTGAAGCATCAACCTTGAACTTTCAAAAAAGAACGCATTTGGATTGGTTACATGAGTTGAAAAGTTACGCGTGATCGGTTCTCCTTTTATGAAATTCGGTTAGACCAAGCAGTGTGCTCTCTATAAATTTTCAATTTTTCAAAATGATGTCACCCCCTGAGATGGTGTCATCCGGTACGGTTAGCACCCCCTAGCTACACCACTACTTTATTTCACTCATTTCCTTACGGATATTAAAAAAAACCAACAACATTGAAATTTTTTTAAAAATCCGTAAAAGTTCGTGCATGTCTGTAAACTTTTCCCATGTGTGGAGATTGAGAATAATTATCAGTTTGTTTAAAAATTGTATGATATTGTGTTGGTAACACTGATAATGGTAGTGACCGTGAAAAAAATTAATAAATATGAAAACTATATATCTAATATACACGCACCGCCCTCATATTGCCTTTCAAATAATATCACGTATTTAGTATATTGCATTGTTTTGTTGTTATTTTTTTGCGTTTTTTTTTTACCAGATATGTTTTTATACCTTAATGAAATATACAATTATATATTTCTAATAAAATATTTCAATTTTTTAGTCATTTAAAAAGAGTTTAAAATCAACCAGACATGTATCTATAATTATTTTTACTTGTCGGTATTTAGTTCAACCTTCATTCAGCTGACTGGTTCATGGTTGACATTTGACAACTCAAAATCGCAGAGAAGAGTTCATTGCTATAAATTTGTGATTTATTTTCTTGTATTTTGTGTAGTAAATAAACTTCTTGATAATGAAGAAAAAGGTAAATAAAATCAGATAGGCCTACAATTACAACATAAGTTTATTAGGTATATATAATGTAGGCGTAGGGTAGGGCTAACTGTTAGAATTGTTAACTGTCTTTAGTATTTAGTCTTAAAAACAGCACTACCGCACTCTCTCACTAGAATCAATGAAGTCTAGAATCGTAACTTATATTTTAATCTATACTAAGTCAATTAGTAAAAGTTTTATTTTAAGGATGGCCTATTATTACTATTAGCCTGTACTTTATTAGCCTATAACAATATGCCTCAATTTTTGTAAATAGGCCTGGCCTAGTATAATAGCCATAGGTACTTTGATAACAAAAAAAAACTTTTAAAAAACCACCAAACTATAGTCTATAGTTGAATAGAGCTAATTTTTAAAAGAATTATAACACCAAAATCATATTTTTAGCTGTTGTAGTTTTAAAGTTATGAATTTTTAAAGTATGACTTAATTTGTCCTTTTTTAATATTAACATTATAATAACATGGACCGCATTTCCACATTCTTTGACTTTGACCCAAATCCGCTGTTCGCGTCACGAGCTATATAACTCTTGTTTTATTGATAATTTTATTTTCAGAACTAATGCTGTATTTAAAAAATAAGTTTAATAATGTTAACAATTATTAGATAAATTGTAGCTTATCTTACTATGCACTATTTATATCAGTAAATTTAATATAATGTATTAATATATGGCTTTTCTGTTTACCAAATCTATGATGTCCATTATACCAATATTTGCTATAAAGTCTATATAAGGCAACTCATGCCCTAAGTACAAAAATACTGTTTGGGAACTATTGAACTTTCAACTTTGGTACATGACTAACTAATTAAAGCTTTCCCAGACCTAGTTTAATAGTTTTTGCACATGGCAAACTTTTATGAATGAAAACTCCGAGATAGTAGTAAATAATAGCCATTATGCAAGTCACTTTGAATGGCCGCCATGACATTTTGCACACAAATTTTGATCATTAAAATATGGACTCTGCCGGGTTTTTTAACCTCAAATTAAAATATTATTCTTTCATAACATTTAAATTCATTCTAAAACATAAGTTATCAAATGTTTTGATGTAAATAGTGGAAATAATTAAATATTTCCTTAGTAACAGCCTCTTCCGCCACTGAAATTATTCAAATGAGCATAACAGGTGACTGACATGTCCTAAGTTAATGAGAATTGACACAAATATACATTGATAGATAATACAGAACAAGACTTTTTATGAAAGACATAAAAGTTGAAATTCTATACAAATTTTTTAGTGAAAGATGCCTTATATTTAAAAGGGAATTTCAAAATACAGGTCAATTGAAAAATCCAAACAAATCAATGTAAATGTAGGCCAAGATGTCTTTCAAAATATAAGGCAGGAAGCGGAACTCAAATATATGTCCAAAGTACTCATTTAATAATAATTAGACACACACATCGGAAAATTAAAAACTCGGATTTTTTGGCGCCGATTGCCATTTCCGATACACAAAAAGTAGTAGTCTCCCTTGGTTTACCGAAGTATCTATAATAGGAAAAGGCATAGGGCTAATAGTAGTAATTAATACTAATAGGGCCAATGACTAAAGATGCATGGATTAGTTGAGTAGGGCGAAATGCACCCTTAGTACTCTAAGCCTAATGCGGGGTGGCATTTCAGATATTTGGGTGGGCAGTGCCAGTGGACAGAAGCAGAGTAGTTAAGTGGGGCATAAGGAGACATTAGTTCCTGGGCACCAAACTTACCCGGGTGCCAAATGGCAAATGGTCTTTTATGGTATTAAATGGATGAGAATTATGGGTTTCAGAATTGAGGGGGGGTGGGGTAGGAGTAAAAATGAATCTTGTCCCCTGGTGCCAAAAACTCTAGCTACGCCATTGGCTTAGAAATGGGGGCAGATAGGTGGTCAACCGAGGTGTCATATTTTCTTTAGATGGATGGACAGCATTTTCGGACAACTGTAGAGTTTGTAATGTGAGTGGGGCCGTGTAAAAAAAACCTAGCCTGCCCTGTTTGGCACTATTATAGCTATACCACTAGGCATTATATCTATCAGCACCAAAATTGGCGATCAGAGCCAGATATACTGTCATTTTTATTGGGATTAGGGCAGAAATCAAGGGCGCCAATAGTTTTTCCCTAACCATAAAATGTGTGATTATTTTAAAGTCAAGAGGTGCATAATGGAGTATACCTGAATTCAGTGTTTTTAATAGGTTATTTGATTGAAGAAAGGAATTTTTCAAGTTGTATGGAAGGCATTATATTGGCCAGTGTCATACATAATTGAATTCACTACGGCTGTGTCGCGCCCCAAGATAATCATTTGGCACAAGCTTAGATCAACCCCATAATGTCACACTAATCGATGTCTGAGAAGGAGGTAACAGAAATTGAGGGGCAGAAGACTCTCAAGCAAAAAAAGGGGCAGGGGTCCCCTTAGAAATTTTTGGATAAATTCAAAATGTTTCTTTCAGACAATTTTGGAGGGGTCATTATAGACATTTGGGTGGGAAGAACCAAAAATAGCTATAGTAGTGATCAAGGACTTTTCTAACTCTCCCTGAGCCCAAAATGATCTAATTCATTCCAGTTGTGGCCCCCTTGAGGGTATGCTTTTTGACATGCTTAGTCTCACTCCTTCAATCTTTAAAGTCCCTAGAAATTTTTGGAAAATTCAAAATTCATTTGAGCTCATACCTAAATTTAGTTTTGCACCATTTTCACTTAATCAGAGAGCAACAGGAGAGATGCTAGTAAAACATTTAGGTGTCACATGACCTTAGAGCCATATTGTGAGCTCTGCAACTAGTACCAAAAAAATGGAAGTGTTATGATAATTGAAATAATAGTTAAAAGAAAACTTTTTTTTTGGGTAATATATATTTTTAAAATCTTTCTCCTGGATTCTAATTTGTTTTAAAAAATGCATCCAAATATTTGGGGAGGATTGTTTATAATTATGATATTAAAAAGAGAAAAGCAGTTGGGAATTTATTACATATAGGTCTAGGCCAGCGGTTCTCAACCTGTGGGTCGCCACCCCTTTGAGGGTCGCGGGACCCTTTTCCAGGGGTCGCCTAAGACCATCTGAAAACATATCCTTACAGCTATGAAGTAGCAACGAAAATAATTGTGTGGCTGGGGGTCGCCACGACACGAAAAACTGTATTAAGGTGTCGCGGCACTAGAAAGGTTGAGAACCACTGGTCTAGGCTAAGTATTTTTTTTTAAAACTCAGTCATTCAGGAAACTGTTACAAAATTAAAAATTTTGCTATTAGCTAAATTTTTTAAAGCATTATGCCATCATACATTTTATAATTAACACTTATCCCTATTTTAAAAGTCCTACTTTTATGTTGAAATATACTTTTAAAACATTTGGCACATGCTTAATACTTAGCAAGAACTATGTTAAAACTATAGACTTTTATTTTGATGTAAAGGTAGTTTAATACAGTGTTATTAAAACCTTTAATTTTTGAATTTGAAAAAATTAAAAATTTAAAACAAACTAAAAATGCAAACAAGAGAGAGTAACCTTTTGGCTTATAATCATGAGCGCTTAGTTTTCAGTAAAGTGGGATATTTATAATGGAATATATTGTAAGCTTGTAATAAGATTAGCCTTAAATATACGAATCATCAAATATCGAACGTAGTGATATTTTATAGGTTCCACTTATTGGAATTGGTTAAAGGCACCAGTTACTATTCTTTTTAAAAATGTGATAAAATGGACAAATTAGTCTTTTTTTTTTAAAATATAATTTCTTTTTTTCTGTACACACTTTTTTCCAGGGAGCGCTTGACTTAAAAATTAGCAAAACGTATTATTTATTATTATTTTTATTGTTGATTTCAGGTACTTTTGATGGGCAAAAGTGGCTCAGGCAAAACAAGTATGAGATCTATTATTTTTGCAAATTATATTGCAAGAGATACAAGAAGACTTGGTGCCACAAGTAAGTAATGGTAGTCTAATAAGCTTTAAACACTAGTTTAACTACTTAAATAAATGAGACAGCAACACACCACTGCCTAAGCACTCCATGAATTACGCTTTTAATTACCTACCTAAAATACCAGGCCACGCTATACACCAACAGAAAATGTGCAAATTTTTTACCATGACCTCAGACCACAGGTTGCATGCCTATAATGATGTTGAATCTTTTTAAATTAAAGATGGCCATTCCCAAATAACTTGCCAGCATTATCAAGAGTCTTTATTTTATTTATTTTCATCAGTATTGGTTCTATAATTGGTGATAGGAAAAAAACTAATGTAAGTTCCAAGTTTCACAAAATGTTTAGTAATGGTTGAGATAATTGTAATTTGCTACATTTTTTCTATGAATTTATTTTTGACCAGTTGATGTGGAGCACTCACATGTTCGTTTTTTGGGAAATCTGGTTTTAAACTTATGGGATTGTGGAGGGTAAGTATTGATGGTGTTTGACATTTAAATCATAAAATATTGTGGATTTAAAAACTATCTTTTTTAATATAGCTTTTTAGTTTATTCTATTGTTAGGTGGGATATTTTACAGATATTTTATTCCTGCACCTTGTTAACTGCTGAATTCTAACATTAGTGGTTGAAGGGTGAGGTATTTTAATATATCTTGCTATTGCACATAATAATTTTTTAAAATTTAGTTTTTTTAAAATAAAGATTTATTAGGTCCATTACAATCGTATATAAAAAATTAAATTGTTTCCAAATGACTATTGAAGTTTCCTGTGTTAGATAGTATATAAGTCATCATTTTCTGTAAACTGATGAGAACTCTGTTCTGCATCACCACATCCTGCTTGGGGATCAGTCTAAGACTTTAGGAGCTATATTTCTGCCTCCATATTATTAATCCATTTTAATATTGGCTCAAAGTTATTAAATTAAACAGACATTGTGCATTAATTTTATTTTCAGACAAGAAGCATTCATGGAGAACTATTTTGCATCACAACGTGACAATATATTCCGCAATGTGGAAGTTCTCATATATGTCTTTGATGTGGAAAGCAGAGAGCTTGAAAAAGATATGCACTATTATCAGTCGTGTCTGGAAGCCATCCTTCAAAACTCACCTGAGGCCAAAGTTTTCTGTCTCATTCACAAGATGGATTTGGTTCAGGATGATCAGAGAGAAATAGTGAGTTATTTTTCAAAACACGAATCTGAGTAGACACATTCATCAGTAAATATTTAAATTTGAATTTCACGATATTCAATAAGGTCTTAAAATATTAGAAATTACTTGTGAAGCACTAGTAACAGATCTAGATTAAAAGAAACCGTCAAACCGCAGCATCATTAAGTTGCTTCTAAGAAGGCTAGTGGTGCTTGAAAAAATATATTTCTCTTTATGGTAGAACTGCTATGAATTAAACAAATTTTAAATAAATTTTTATCTACCAGAACCAGGTGAGTTTCTCATTTTCTCATTACATTAATTTTTCTGCTTAATATTAAAGCTCTTGATTTTTTTCAGGCCTTTTAACCTTTTTGCAATAAAATTACAATTTAAGTTTAAGCCTAAGACGAGCGGTTTTGAGTGTTGTTTATTTTTTATTTTATTATAAAAGAGGTTTTTCAAATTAAAAAGTTACCCTATTCATCTTGTTAGGCAACAAAGAATGAAAAAATTGACTGCCCTTTGTGGTCTCGATTCAATCAGAATCTTTTTCTGCTAAAGGCAGAGTAAATACCAAATTTCCAGCTGCTGTCATTGTGTGTCAGTATTTCATCCTCGAACTGGTATAAGTTATTTTGACTACTCACTGCAGCAAATCTTGCCAGAGGTAACCGGGTCTGTTTTTATTGTTTGCAAAATTTATAACTGAATTTGCTCACAAACATTTTAAATTCTTCAGAAAGTGAAATATTCTTGTTAAAATCACCAGATTTTCCATGAGAGACAAGAGGACCTCAAGCGTCTTTCCAAGCCCTTAGATTGCACATGTTTTGCCACATCAATCTGGGATGAGACTTTATATAAGGTAACAAATCTTTTTAAATTTATTTTATTCATGTGAGCCTGAATATATTATTTCATACCTGCCAAGTAGAAAATGTCCTAAAACATTTTAAAAATTATTTCTAATGCAGTTGTTTCTTTTCCATGGATTTTAACAAACGACACATTTAGTAAATTATAATATTAGTCGGAACATGGTTTATTTTTATGTTTATAGATATTCTTTATTCTGCTATCCCATTTCGTATAAGGCTGTCAAAGTAGTTGAAGATTTTTAAATTAAAACTAATAGCAATAATAGAACATCCAGTGTGAGGGAGAAAATATGCTTATTGTAATCTGCTCTATTTTACACTTAGATCACATGTGGTGTAAAATGTTTATTTAAATTTTAAAAATTTTAAAAATATTTTCTGAAAGCATTAGTGTACAGTAAATAGTATTAACTGAGAATACTTTGTAAATTCTTTGGTTTAAAAATAATTAAATGACCCATGAAATACATGTGCTAAAGACTAGTAAAACAAGTAAAAGCAGCACATTTTTTTATAGTAAAATTAAAATAACATGTATAAAAATACAGAAAAATACATTATCCAAATTTAAACTTAAGTTATTTTGATGCTTCAGTCAAGATCCTTATAATGTTGGTTCTTTAGACCCTCTCTCTTGAAGAGCTAATGTCATTTTGGAATGCCCTGAGGAAAGGAATTAAGTCTCATTTAAGTTTTAAATTTAAAATAGCAGGCATTCTTAGCTTAGAAGTTAATGTACCCTAGCAGGCTTCGTGTATTACCTCTGTAGAAAAGAAAAAGGTTATACTTGGAACATTCAGATTGCATATTTTTTAAAATTTCCAATATGACATCGTGGCCAGCAAGTCTTGATTTATAAATCTAAATTATGTATTCAAATCTGAAAAAAACAGGCATGGTCATCTATAGTGTACCAGCTGATTCCTAATGTACAGCAACTAGAGGAGAACTTGTCCAAATTTGCTGAGATTCTTGATGCCGATGAAGTACTGCTGTTTGAGAAAGCCACATTTTTAGTGAGTTGATCATCAGTCATTGCAAGAATCGATCCTCATTCTTCGCTTTTCCACAAAACGAAATCATCACCCCTACATTTTATAGAATCAGTACCCCTAATTATATTTAATGTTTGTTTGAACTCATATTTAGCATCTAAAATAAGTTTTTTTATAATTAGTATATGATAGGAATATCTAAATAAAACATTTTACTTGAACAGGGTAAATTCATCAACAGTTGCAAAATTATTTTCTGTATACGCCTCTATCATAATAAGTCAACTGTTACTTTCATCGTAATTTTTTGTTCTGGATTGTTACAGAGTGATTTTTAAGACAATAATTTATTAAAATTCCTTTTACTCTCAAGTGTAAAGCGGCTACTTAATTGTTTTGTTTGTACAGCTGCAAAATTGGTCAGCATTTAAAATGAAATTATTTTTAAAAGTCAGTGGCGCACAAAAAGAAATTTTAATTCAATGTTATAACATATCATGTTGTGCTATATTTGTTCACTTAATTAATTTAATACCTCCTGTCCATCAGGTCATTTCTTACTGTGAAAGAGTGCAACACCGAGATGTGCACAGATTTGAAAAAATCAGCAACATCATAAAACAGTTTAAACTAAGCTGCAGTAAAATAGGAGCTTCCTTTGAGAGCATGGAAGTGAGAAACTCAGCATTTGCCGCCTTCATTGAGATGTTCACACCTAACATGGTCGTTATGGTTGTGATGTCAGATACCTCCATACGTAAGTCATGTCAGCAATCTATTACTTTAATGATTTCAGATACGGTGTAGTCCCTCTATAAGGTGAATTCGGATTTAAGATGGCCTGCCATGGATCCAGAAATTTCATATATTCATTAGAACATAAAAAAATGATGTTTCAAAAGTACTGGAAAAATCAATAAACTATATATCCTCATAGAGTCCAATCACTAATCCACTCAAACTAGCCCTACTTAAATGCCACACAGCTAACTAACCACAAGATACAGTTTTCCCTCACCATATCGCGGTTCACTTTTTGCGGTCTCACTGTATCATGGAATTTTTACTTGCATACAGGTTATATCTAATGTTGTATCGCAGATTTATAAAGAATTTTATATGTTGTTAAAATTACGGAGTGTTAAGAGTGTATAAAGTGTTTAAGAGCATAGAATGTGTTTGTAAGAGTGTGAGGAGGGTTTATGAAGCCTTAAATATATGAAATATACGGTCACTACATTACAGATTTTAGCCTATTGTGTGGGGGTTCTAGAACCTAACCCCCATGAAAGACAAGGGACTAGTGTATTAACAAATCAGTTTTTTAAAAAACAGCTAAATCTCATTTCCTCCTATGTTTTATAGACTTTTTCTGTAATCGCATTTCCATCTTGTGAAGTGTTTTTTGTTTACACATGTGACGTTTTAAGATTTCACATGTTGTGTTCATCTGATGGACGAGGGTTAACATTAACACTTATATTGTATTGTTGACGGCGTCCGCTCCACTGAGTGAATGGGTGTGTGGGTGAGCTCAGATCTGTTTTTTAGTTTTAAGCCTAGGTAAAGAGTTAAATCACTTTAAACAGGATTTTTAAGCTTTCTGTGTTTAAAAAAGTAAATAATTCTCCTTTTGTCGATAACTTAAAGATTACAATTTTAATACTAAATAGTGGAAAATGAAAAGACATTAAAAAAACTGTAAAAAAAAGACTTTTTATTTACAATGAGTTAAAATGCTTTAATCAGAAGAAAATAATTTTTATTCCTTATAATGCATTACGCAATATAAACAACTGCTTACTGTTAATATGTAGAGAACTCAAAATAAAATCTCTTCCTGATTTCACTTCTGCATAATAAACCTTTGGACGTATGACAAAGTAAAAAAAAAATAAATGAGACATAAGATTACCTGCGTGAGATGTCCGTGGAAGGTCATTGGGCAATTGAGAATCAACAAATGATGTTTATTGTAACATGCATGTGAGATTTAGGGGGAGTGGGATTTTTTTTTTGGCTATTTAATCCAATTATAGAACTGTAACAAACTAGATCAGTTTCAAACACACCGGATAATTTATAGCAATTGTTCATGTTTTTTCTCCGCAGCTTCTGCAGCCACTCAGTTGAATATCAAAAATGCTAGGAAACACTTTGAGAAACTTGAGAGTTTGGTGACGCCCCACAGAGGAATGGGAAGTAACACTCGATGAAGTTCTGTTTTGCCACCATGATAGCCAGTTTCACTCTCAGAAGTAGACCACAAACAAAGGATCGATCAAGAACAAACTGTGATAAAACAAAGATCAAGTCTACATATGGCCGAGTCCTAGTAAATTTTTCTTTGTTTAAATTACATACGGTAACACCTTGTAATCAGCCATAAGTTACGTCACTGCAGAGGGAGAGCTCAAATGATAGGATTATGTGCAATGTTATTTTTAAAGATATATTTGCCTTAGGATTTTTGTTTGATAAAACATTTTGATTTTTAAAGCAGACCATGTAGTTTGACTTTCATTTGTATTTACTACAATTAAAAAAAGAATTAGAGTCAGATCATAGGGTAATACTGAAGTAAATTACAATCCCAAATTTGGAAGTTGATAAAAAAATCCTCGAAACCTCATGCTTGAAGTATCCCTGGTTATTGAATTAATTATATTGATATTACCTTTTTTTTTTTTTTTTCTAATTTTCTTTTTTCGGGGAGTAGGGTTAAGGGTTATTTTTGTTTCAAAACCAGATTTAGAATTTCATATTTTATTGTGCCATTATGAGATTCAGGTTGATTTTCTTTTTAAAAAGAGAAATTTTTGTTAGTTTGTAAGTCACCTGGCTTTGAATGAAAAGATTATAAGATATTCACCTAGCTATGAATGAAAAGATTGAGTTGTTTTTGTGTTTTTTTGTTGTATCACTGAAGTTATTTGACAGATAAGTTGGCTAAAGCTCTACAAAAATGAACGCAGCTCATGTTAATGCTTGCTAGAGATGCTACTGGTCTCCTTGTGTATGCTAATAATATTAAAGTGGGACTGATTACTTGTCCTTACTCTAGCTGTTGCCTATTGCTTTTAACGCATTTATCAGTGGGCTGTTTTGTTAATTTTGAGGAATCTTGGCTAATTTTGGGACGTGAAATCTAGTGTTGTTGTCAAATCTACTGAGTTTAAGATGTGAAATCTAGTGATGCTGTTTTAAATATACTGAGTTAAAAATGTGAAATGTAGTGTTGCTGTTAAATCTTCGGAGTCTAAGGCGTGAAATTTAGTGTTGCTATGAGTCTAAGGTGTGAAATCTTAGTGTTTCTGTTGAATCTACCTCAACTCAAAATGTTTTGGTGGGATTTAAAACCTTTGACATTTTTTGAACAGTTACACTATTAAAAGTTATCTGAGATTAAGTACATATGTATTGCATTCTGGATCAAATATGTACAACTTGTAATGTCATCCAGCCTTTTTTACATTTTAACTGTTAGGATATTCCATCTTTTTCTCTGTAGGTATATCTAAGTATAAGTAACCTGAGAATCATAATTTTTTAATCATTTAAAATTCCTTACAGCTAATTTTACTATCTCTTGTTGTGTATTTGTTATGTATTTATTTGCAATGGATGTAAATATTGTCACTTATTAGTCTAAGCCACAGGCTCCAAACTTTTTTTGGGTTGCAACCCCATTTGATAGAAACAAAATGACGAGCAAGCCTTATACATTTGAAAAAATAGCATCAGTATAAATATAAATTGCATTATGAAATATTTAATGCATTTGCAATTGTACCTCTTCTAAAAGCTTCAAAATTGGTGGTTGACTCAATCAGAAGCATTGAAAATCCATTCTCACTGAAATGTATAGAGGCTAAAAATATAATTTTATTATAAATTTTAACAAAATTAAATATGCTTAAAATCATTATTCGTTTAGTTTACTGTTTGAGCCGGTGACTCCCACAGAAAATCCTTAGTGACCTCCTCCTGACACATGGGTTCGGAACCGGTGGTCTGAACAAAACTGTCATAATTACATTTAGGATAAAATGCATTTCAAGAATTTGATTGATAAACCCTTTAGGAATGGTTTTATAAATACATATGTTGGTGGTCTTTTCTATGTAGTTTATTGTACAATAATAATTTTAACACCCCACAAGGTTTATTGGGACTATAAAATTTTTGAAAAAATGAATTTCGATGGCACACATCTCTGGGCTTAAAGCTTTGTTCAGATGAAAAATTGATATTTGTTATAAGATAAGTATTTCTATTGATAGAAAAATATAGATGATTTTATTTATTACATTGTAAATATTCTTTTCAGTCTGGATAGTCTTTGTGTTTTTTTGTTTTTAAAAATTGGTTTGTAGCAAGGCATCCGTTGAACCATTGTTTGGTTAGATTCTCTGAGTTTAAAATAAACTGAGATGTGTCAGAGATTTTAATTTATCTATATGACACATTGAGAGTTTGATCTTGTCACATTGGCATGTGTCATACTGAGTTTATGTTAACTCTTATTGATCAATTGAGCAATGAGAAAAGAACTCAATACTGCAACGAACTGAGTCTGTGCTTTTTTTTTTCCAAGATCAATGACTGTAGCCAACTGGTCTTCTGTTAGTTGTTTTGATGCCACCATCTCTTTGCAAGATGGTTGGGTTGTATTTTTTATGCTTAGATTGTCTACAAGTTTAATTTTAAACAATGAAAAAAAAAGATTTATAGAGTCATGCATTAAACACATTCAAAATTCCTTGTAAACAAAAAAAAAAAAATCAGAATATCATCAAAAAAAGCTTGGGGGGAAAAAGCACAGATGCAATCGATCCACCTGCCGTGTAGACCGATCCACCTGCCGTGTAGACCGATCCACCTGCCGTGTAGACCGCCAGAAGAATATTTTCTGTTCTTAAAACATCTGGAGTGGCACACACAAAAAAATAATTAAATTCATATTTCATTTCTGTTTTGAGTGGTCAACAATGTCTTTGAGTGGTCCACTCTGTTGGGAACCCCCAGCATGTCATGTTCACCATTTACATTACTGCCTTAAGGGTAAATTAATATTTTTTAAAAGTGTAAATTAATAAGATGTTATTTCTAACTAGTTGTTTTTTTTGTTGCATTCTAACAAATGCTTACAGTTGCATTCTAACAAATGCTTACAGAATATTGAGGGTCTTGCCAGATTTTACCACCAAAAAAATATATTTGCACATGAAAATCAAGAAAGGGGATATCATTGTAAAGTCATGAGCTGAATCTAATTAAAATTGTTTAAGATGTGCCAGTGAGGTCCTCAGAGTTGTATCTGTATATCTCTATTGAAATTTTTCAATTTCTTTGAAGGAATTATGAATACTAAAAAGTGTTTTTTTTTTATTTACATAAAAAAACTCCAACCTACTAGTAAATGAATATTTTTTTATTTAAAAGTAAAAATTCAAACTGTTGTTTGTGCATTTAATTATAACCTTTTAAAGAGTTCTTTTTATTTATTAATTTTATTTTAAAATTAGTTTTTAAGTGGTTCATAACAATCATGGGATCATTTTGATATGTTTTCCAAGTTTTTCCTTTCAATGCAACTTTGATTACATTAACTGAAAGATGGTGTTACTTGATTACCTGAACGACAAGAAAATGTTCTATCCCTAAATAGCCCAGAGGAGAGGGATCATCTCATGATCCTCACCTTGTGTGTCCACCATGTATCTAGTACATTAATACTATAGAGTTTGTGAAGCCTGGGGTGGTCCTTGAGCCACTTCCTCACAAATGACATTCAACATTTGACACCATCTATTTTTGAAAAAAAGAATTTTGTATTTTAATTATTGCTTTGTTTTTAATCGTCCATACATTATTCCTTATGTATTATAATGTGGTATTGTACAGGAAATAGTGGAACTAGTTATGTTGAAGCTGGAAAAGAATTAACAGAACAAACAAAAAAAAAGAGAAATGCTTTAGCTAAATGGCTTTATCAGCAGACAAACAAGAAACAAAGAATACATTTCTATAGTTCTATGTTGTTTATTGTTTTGCCTGCTGAAGTTGACTTTCAGCCAAAAAGTTATCCTTTTAATTTTATTGTCCTGTTCTTTCTTTTGAAGCTTCAACATACCCAGTTCCACAATTACTTCCACACAGCTTCAACATACCCAGTTCCACAATTACTTCCACACAGCTTCAACATACCCAGTTCCACAATTACTTCCACACAGCTTCAACATACCCAGTTCCACAATTACTTCCACACAGCTTCAACATACCCAGTTCCACAATTACTTCCACACAGCTTCAACATACCCAGTTCCACAATTACTTCCACACAGCTTGAACGCAGTCCTGCATTTATGATCCTGTTAATTGTACAGTACAACAATTATTGTATTATTAAAAAAATCACAGAAAAATTAGAGTTTTTTTAAGTCGTGTTTGTGTTGACAATTATTTATTTCAGTGAACAAGCAGCTTTCTCTTTCATGACTTCTAGTCACATGATCTCAGTTGAGCCCATCTGATAAGCACGGATGGATTTCCCTTCAGCCTAAGGCCTCCAGAATTTAGGAGGCCTAAAATGTAAGAAGTCACGTTTTATAGCCATTAAAAAAGTCTAACTTTGCTTGACAATATAAAAATTTAATCAAATTATTTATAAAAAATACTTGAATACTTAAAGTGCAATAATATTATCACTTCGGTGACATTAAAAGAAACATGAACTTTTTATTAAAACTCGAAATAACACTAAACGATCACACAGGGTGGGAAGCACGGGTGATTTAGTGTTAAATTGTTTCAGTATCAGCTCAAGATTAACTTTAACAACTGTCAAGGACAGTCAAGCCAGTCATATGACAAAGAATTGACAATGCTGCGAAATTGACAAGTAAACGGTGACTAAAAAACTGTCATTAGAAAATAAACAAAGTTTGGAAAAACTGGGAAATAAGGAAGCAACAAATCAAAGAATGTGTCGGCAAGAAGCCTACTTCAGCGAACAAACAATTAAAAATAAATAAAATTATCACTTTGCTGCAATGTAGAGAGGGGGGGGGGCAGCAAGAGGGATGTGCTATTTGTTTATACCTGTCATGGGGAGGCAAAGAATTAGGAAATTGTAAGACAATGATGAAAGCGCACATTCGATGCACAGCTGACATCGTATATTTTATTTTTATTTATCCCAGCTCTCACCAGAACAGTCTCTCGAAATTCACCCTTTGATATTGACCGTCTTATGAATGCTAACCATCTTAGAAACGATGACCGTCTTAGCAATGATTACGTCTTAGAAACGATGACCGTCTTAGCAATGATGGCCGTCTTAGAAACGATGACCGTCTTATGAATTCTAACCATCTTAGAAATGATGACCGTCTTAGCAATGATTACGTCTTAGAAACGATGACCGTCTTAGCAATGATGGCCGTCTTAGAAACGATGACCGTCTTAGCAATGATGGCCGTCTTAGAAACGATGACCGTCTTAGCAATGATGGCCGTCTTAGAAACGATGACCGTCTTAGCAATGATGGCCGTCTTAGAAACGATGACCGTCTT